TGCTAATAAAAAATCACATTGGAAAGAGGACTCACAATTTCTGAATGACGTAGTTGTATTTTACAAGAAGAAGCACTCAGAGTGCAAACCTCCACCAAGGCTACCCGCTATTAAGGGAAGTATTACATTTTGTATGTATGAATTTAGTTTTCTTTGTTCGTTTGTTTTTTAAAAAAAATGTATTTTAAGAAGTTTGTAGTGCAGTAAAAATTAGGTAAAGGTAGGATTACAGATGTTTAATTTGATTATACAAATATTATGTAGGAGTGGGTAATGGATAATAGGTACTGATTTGCAGCTCTTTTTTCTTGATAATACTTTCTTTAACGATATAATACAGTTTGGAGTCAACTCCACAAAGAAAGCTTGAGGTCAGAGGTCAAATATAACATCATTTGGATGCAGACTATATTATTTTTAGTCCCCATATACCAATATCATTTCCTAAATGTTGCCAATACAAACAATGGCAGTAGAATTCTAAACATAATTTTGAAGATAAAAGACTGAATGTTTGATGTTGTTTGACCTTGAAGGAGAGGCCAGAGGACAAATGTGCCACATTTTACATTTTTATAAAGTAATTTTTTATGTTTACAATGCACACCAAACTTGTAAGGGACTTATAAGGAATGCATGAATGTTTTTCATATTTTTATATGTCAAACGCAGATCCTCATTAAATTTTATGGTAAGAAATGTGAAAGAACTTCGAGATATTTATATTTGAATATTTCCTTAGATTTCAGTGTGTGAAAAAAGTGAGTGGATGGGCTCTTTCTTAAACAATATCTAGGAAACTATTTAATATAATAAGCTAAAATCTCAGAGCAATTATTATAAATATGTAGAAACTTACAAGATGGTGGAGCAAAAGGCCAGAGACTGAATGTCCCAGCAGGAGAGCATGCTGAGGCTACTCACTGCACACATTGATCATTGTATTTTTAGTATACTATAGTATATAGTACGGTATAGATTATTTTAGTATCTATTCATCAGTGTTCAATCACTAACTTTAGCTCATAGAAGCTGCAGTGGGATCAAAGTCTCACTCAGTTCAGTGTGCCTGCAGCGATGAGCTCTCAAAGACTGCTCAGAATGCAGTATCAGTTAATGAGTAACCTTATGTTGTCATACTACACATGTCCCCACTCTGTCGCCTGCTCCCTCCTCAGGCAAGCAGCTCCTTCGGGCTCCTCTTTGACATTGATGGGGTGCTGGTGAGAGGCAAGACTCCGATCCCTGCAGCCAAGCAGTGCTTCAAAAACCTGGTGGACCGCAGCGGAAAATACAAGGTCCCTGTGGTGTTTGTCACTAATGCTGGGAACTGCATGAGGCAGACAAAAGCGGAACATCTGTCACATCTGCTTGAGGTGGAGGTAAATTGAGAGCCTTTTAAAACATTATCAGTTTGCTTTGTCTCGTGTATTTTGTTTTTAATATTCTTTGATATCAGCCATTTATTCTAGACTCCCTTTATCTCAGGTGTCTCCAGACCAGGTGATGCTATCCCATAGTCCTTTGCGAATGTTTACCCAGTTCCACAAAATGCGTGTGCTGGTCTCCGGACAGGGTCCAGTAGAGGAAGTCGCTCATAAGTATCCTGCAATAACTCTGGTAATCTGGTGCCTGCACTCTGGATGTTGACCTTTAAAGCTGAATGTTCTGTTTATTCACTTGTTTTTCTCCATGCTCCACTTTGTTATCAGTGTTTAATCGTTTCACCCTTTGTTCCCTTTACTGCTTGACAGTCTCTGTGAAGCCCTTCAACAGATTTTTCTGTTTTTTTGAGTTAGTGGGATTTTGTTTTTAATTCAAGTCAAACATTGTTATTTGAAATATAAAGAAATGCAATAAATTAAACATTGGAAAACATGTTACAAAAAAACACCAAATACCCAAAACACTGTTAAGATTTTCTACATATTTCCAGCTTGTAATTCCTGCTCAACCGGTTTGACTTTAACTCGCCAAACTTCAGCCTGGGCTTTCAGGATGTTGTTACTATAGATGTGCTCAGAGAAGCGTACCCAGTCCTAGATGTTGTGGATCACAATAGAAGACCCAAAGATGTTGTAAGTAATACTGTTTAATCCATTTATGTTCAGTTCAGTTACACGTCTTGCCAACTTTGCACAATGTCCTTCAGGTGCCGCCCACTAAAGGTTTACGGCCAATAGATGGTATGTTTCCTTTGCGCAGTCATTACATAATCCCTGAGAATTAATGATTTTCTGGTAATGTGGCCTAATTGTATGTTTTGTTTTTATTTGGTCCTACAGCTGTTGTTTTATTTGGTGAGCCTATTAGATGGGAGACCAACCTCCAGCTTATTGTTGACGTGCTGCTAACTGGTGGGAACCCAGGCAGCACTTGGAGTTCAGCGCATTATCCTCACATCCCCGTCCTGGCATGTAACATGGACCTGCTGTGGATGGCAGAGGCCTGGAATCCCCGGTACACATCAACACCACAGTCTGAAATATTACAACCTTCAAATTTTACAGTATTCTTGTTATACAGTGCCATGGAAAAGCACTATTATCAAAACCTACCTGGCCCTGTGTGAAAAAGTGATCGATCTCTCATTAAATCCTGAATTACTTTTGAGTTACCACATTTGAGAGCTGAGTTCAACTTCACCAGCCACAGTGGCCTGATTACTGAGAAACCTGTTGAATAAAGAAACCTCTTCAATAGAACTTAAGTGAATTAGGAAAAATTATTCAAGAAAGCAACACATCATGCCACACTCTGAAGAAACCACTAATAAACAAAGTCATTGACATTATCAGTCTAGAAAGGGGTACAAAGGCAAATCATAGTGAAAGCTATGAGAGAAAACGTGGAACACAGGTGAACCTTCCCAAGAGTGCCCGGCGTACCAAAATGATCCCAGGAGTGCATCACCTATCCAGCAGGTCACAAAAGAACCCAGAACAACATCTAAAGGACGTCCAGCAGGACAATGATCCAAAACACACCAGCAAGTGCGCCTCTGAATGGCTCAAAAACAAAACAAAATGAAGATCATGGAGTGGTCTATTCAAAGTCCAGACTTAATTCCAATTGAGATTCTTTGGCATCTGAACTTAAACGGGCAGTTCATCCTTGAAAACCCTCTGATGTGCCTGAATTAAAACAATTATTTAAAGAGGAGTGGCGCAAAGCTCCTCCACAAATGCTTGCTTGCCAAGTGTGTCACAACCAGTTAGTAGGTTTAGGTTTTTTTTATATTGGACCAAGTTGGCTTTGATAGCTTTCCCTTAATAAATGAAATCATTTAAAAACTGCATTTTGTATTTACTCAGGTTATGCCCAATATTAAAATTAGTTCGATCTGTAACGTTAAAGTCACAAATATGACAAATGTGCAAAAAACTAAGAAAGGGAACAAAACAAAAACTTTCTCACAATACTGTATTTCCTGTTCCTTGCATCACAGGTTTGGTCATGGTATGTTCCTGGTGTGCTTAGAGTCTCTGTACAAGAAGGTCACAGGATACGAACTCAAGTACGAGGCTCTGATTGGGAAGCCCAGTGTGGTGACTTATAACTACGCTGAGCTGCTGATTAGACAACAGGCTGAAAGACTTGGCTGGAACACGCCTGTGAAGAGGGTGTATGCTATAGGGTGAGTTTTTCAGTCTACATTTAACACTTAGAAATTCAGTTTAAAAAAGAATTTGAACTGAGTCCTTTTTTTTTTTTTATAGTGATAATCCCATGGCCGACATATATGGCGCCAACCTCTACAATCGCTACCTCCAGTCTTCTCGTCACACCAAGGCACAGATGCAGGCTCAGAGTGCTGGTGGAAGTATAGATCCCTCAGCTGTTGATGACACCCCTAAAATGACATCAGCAGAACTAGGTGGAGCTTCAGGTGTGGTAGAAAGGGATCTCCCCGAGGGATGTAGCTCAATCCTGGTGTGCACAGGAGTGTACAGCAAAGAACAACAGGAGCTGCTCTCAGACCCAACGCAAACAGTCACAGAACAACGCATCTTCCATGGTCACAGAGACTTCCGCTTCGATCCCAGCCTCACTCAACCGTCCTTCGTGGTGCATGATGTGAAGGAGGCGGTTGAGTTGGTATTTAAGCAGGAAGGCTGGCCACTACAGTAGGGGTCTCCATCTCATAGTCTGATCTTTCACCATTAGCAACAGGTTATCAAACCATTCCCTTGATTATTACAGGGGAGAAGTAGGTGTTACTATGTTATAACGAGCCATAGAGTCAGCTGTGAAAAGGAATAATATCAAATACATAGAAGTTGCATTTTAAATCAGTCATCCATAATAGTGCATCAGACCACTGCTGAATTCTTTTAAAAAAGTTTAAGTTTTCAATAATAGACATCACTGTTTCTGAGTCAACGAATTCAGGTTTTTGAGTACATACATTAAGTTGTTGAATTACACATTTTAGTACTTTAAGTATTGATAAGCTCACGGGTGGATTTCAGGTGGAATTCCTCCACAGTTACATCTTTCCAGCAAGTTTAGACTGATTCAGAAAGAACTGTACAAAGACACAGTTTTGTGACATTACCACTTCAGGCATTTGCACAGTCAAAAAAAAGACACCCCCGTAGGTCCTCATTTGTTTTTACTGCTGTCATATTTTACCTAATAAATTTTTTTTAAACATGAATTTATAAGCTCTATTTAAGTTGCCAGCTATGAGTGTATTACATCATTTTTTTTTTACTTTAGCCAGCAGAATGTTAAATTTTATTTTGAAAAAAACTAGTCTTATTTTCTGAAGTTGGTGGAATTTAACAGTAGGGTTTTTCACATAATGAATAGTGAATGTCTGTTAGAAGACTGCAGTTATAGTTACAGCGCCACTGAAAATACAGTTTTTACATTTGTAACTGGTTTAACAATGTGTGATTTGCAGGTGACTTAAACCTGTGGCATTGTACTTCAAAAGCCATATGATGTGAAAGAACCTTTAAAAAAAAGGGATTAAAATGACACAAGGCTACATGTAAAACTGTAGTGTTTACTGTGCTGGAGTCTGTGTACAGAGTCCTCTGGCAGAGGAGTGGTTTGTCATCACATTCATTATCCTCAGAATAATATTACAACATGTTAAATATTAAAAAGTCAAAACATACAAAACCAGTATTCACACACACGTTGCAACACACAGTTTCTCTTTAAATAACATCCCATTCTCTGGTAGAGAAACAGGTAAATTGAGTATTCAGGCCTCCATTCCCACTCTTCGAGTGACTCCCTGCTTCAGCCTTCTCGGCACCCACACTTTTTATCTGTAACCACGGCACTAGGAACCGGGTGAGAGTTGTTAATCAGCATGAACTGAGGAGAGTTTTCAGAGGACTCGTTTATGATGGTCATACCATTGCGTGCCATTAGTTCTCGAGCCATAAGAATGAAGGCGGCATCTATGTTCTGGGCCTCCTTGGCTGAGGTTTCCAGAGCAGCCAGCACACCACTGTCTTCTGCCAGATTGCAAGCATCCTCGAAGAGCACCTGTCTCTTAGTGTGGAGATCTGACTTATTACCTGCAGTGGTGAACAGAACCAGAGTTGGTAAAAACAGAAGTGAAGCAGATATTTGCAGCTATGATTTGTATCATTTTCAGTTCAATTATTCTTTTAGTGCAACACTTACTACAACCAAGTCTTCAGATCACATTTAAACTTTACCCCTCAAAAACATGGGGCATGTTTCTGACTTTTTGGAATTACGTCTTTCCCAACAAACTTAGTAGACTTTAACTATAAGATACATTTTTTTAGGGTTAATACAGACAACAGTCACACACCGGAATCGCTGTTTTAGCACATTCTGCATATGTCTTTGGTCTGTAGGTGGACGTTACACGATACACTACCTACAGAGACACAAGAAGAATATCTAAACTCTACATAAAAATACTCTCCCTCACTGGCATGCTCTTTCATGTCATTGACCTATTGCAAATTAATACAACAATACTGCATTCAGTTAGTGAGATCAGGATTTGATCTAATCATGAAAATATGGATTTATCCTGCCTTGTATCAACAGCTAAAGCTGCTGGTGTGACATTGTTTGGGATATTTTCTTGGCACATATTGTTAACACATTGTTAAACACCACAGTCTACTTCAGTCTTTTTGGTGACCATGTTCATCCCTTTATTAGCACAATCTACGGATCTGCTAATGACTTTGCAAGTGACTTTTGTCTTGTTTGAATTGATTTTGTAACATGTTTTTTGTGACAATATCTACAACTCAAAAATATATTCTGCTCTGTGCAGACAGTTTACATACCAATGAGTATCAGCACCACACTGGCAGCTCCGTACAGCTCCACTTCCCTGATCCAGTGTGGAACCGATTCAAATGTGCTGCGTCGAGTGATGTCATAGGCCACCATCGCCCCATGGGCGCTGCGGTAGTAGCTTTGAGTTATGGTGCGGAAACGCTCCTGTCCCGCAGTGTCCCACACCTGCATCTGCAAAACACAGATAACACAAATATGGGTTAACCGGTTATACAGAATAGGTTAAGGATCAACAGCGTACAACTCTTAAGTTATTCAAGTATGATGTCAGGTTTGTCTGCTGTTTGCAGTTGTTTCTGAACAAATGTCTGCAAATGTCTAAACAGAATTATAAACTAGCAGCTAATAAATCAACACACCCAGAAAGCTAACAGAAACACTGAGGATACTACAGACAGCTTGTCAGCCCCTCCCCTTTCTCTGAAGAAATAAAACAAAAGGAATTCTTTACTTTAAGACAAGAGTGCACCCGCACAGATCTCATAAATTGCACACACCTAAATATGTGGACATGACTGCACTATCAGCTGTGATGCAAGTGCTTAAAATAAAAGTCATCTACCTTCACCTTCTTGCCATCAATGTCCAGGGTACGAACAGTAAAGTCAACACCAATGGTGTTTTGTTGCTTTTCGATGAAGATGCCAGATTTGAAGCTTTGCACCACGCAGGTCTTCCCAACATCTGAGTCACCAACCAAGATGATTTTAAAAAGAAAGTCAAAAGAGTCTTCAATCTCTGGCCCAGCAGTCTGCATGGTGACAAGAGGAACAGAGAGAGAGGGAAAAAACACTATCGCTGTAAGACGAGACCCAATACCTTTGGGCCTCAGTGCAAATGAACCGGTCCCTTCCAAGTTGTGTCAATAAGATCTTAGAATATTTACACAAACAGCAGTCACATCCTTGAGAAAGAAAGGGAGAAATCAATTGTCTACTGGCAGAAGTAACGCAGACAGTTTGATCCCTGGTGAAAGATCCATCCAGAGCTCAATAAAAAGTAAAGGTTCTGTCAAATCTAATCTGTCAAATCTAGTGAAGCAGCTTGCTTTTTTCTTCTGCTATCTTAAACCCATTCTTTAACGTTTGTTCAACAATCAGAAAAGATTACACAATCAGCTCAGGTATTCCATAGCAGGGATAAAAATCAATATTCCTTGAGAAAGACTAGTCAGAATCCAAAAGCTGTTTCTTCATCAGGAGTTGGTTTCCATATCTACATTACACCAGTAGTCACATTCTTGAAACACAAGTAGATTCTGTCCTTCTGCCCTTTAGACTGTCACTCTGTGTGCTTGCTACACCCCTGCGCCACTCAGTTTACTTCTGAGGCAGTATAAGACACGCCTCCTACCTGTGTTGGAAGTTGTGATTTCCAACTGCCAGCCCACCTGCACCACTGCATCTTGGGATATGGATTTTCTTTGTATGTTTAACAGGACTCAATACCTGAAAGAGCCAGACAGCAATCATTCATTACCAAAAGCTCTTAAAGGTCGAGCTAAAATGAGTAGCTAGAACTTACCGTAAATTATAGGAGTGAACAAAAGTGTTGAAGGTTCACTCTGAGTGCAGACTTCCCATTTTAAGAGGGTGTGACTGCTACACTTGCAGCCATGCAACTATAAAAATCAGTATTTAAGCATGTGGGCATGGTCAAGATAACCTGCGGAAGTGCAAACTGAGCATCAGAATAGGCCAGAACGGTGATTTAAGTGACTTTGAATGTGGTATGATTATTGGTCCAATACGGGCTGGTCTGAGTGCTCTTATGATGACGTCTTCCAGCAGGGTAATGCACCAGGCAAAATCATTTCAAACTGGATTCTTGAACATGACGGTGAATTCACTATATTCAAATGGCCTTCACAGTCAACAGATGTCAATCCAGAAGAACACCTTTAGGATGTGGTGGAAAGGGACATTTGAACAATTAATGCAGTTCTGGGGGCAAAATGAGCTCCAATCCAGTACTAGCAAATATACCTAATAAAGTTCACTGAGAGTGTATGTTAAATTTGTTGGATTTACTTTAATTTCTAATAATTTCTCTGGTTTTGCAGTGCTGGGTTCTCCAAGCAATCATATGGTCTGCCAGCATATAACGAGCAAAAGAGGTGTCTTTGAATGCATCACTATTTAATACAGAAAGTGCTGATTGGGAGATACCACGTATTCCAAGATCATAGGAAGATAGCTGGAGTCATTTATGTTAAATGCATTTATTTTCTGTGTCTCCTCAGTAAGGTATTTAGTTGTTCTTTTAATTACTGTTAGGTTAGAGTAACAATTAAATTAAAGCTTGATTTTGCTTCTCTAATATTAGTTGATTAGCTTTGTTACCTTGTGTCTAAATTGGTCCGATCAGCAGGTATTTAAGATCCCCTTTCCTTTTCATCTGATCAGTTTTGGTTGCTTGGATTGGTTTGAGCATTGATGTTATTTTATCTCATGTTGCTTCTTACTTTTTAAGTTGTAACATTACTGTTTGACTTTTTCTTCCAAGGATAAAATAAAGCACTTTTTTCTCAAATTTCTGTGTCCCTGTGACTAACCTTTCATGTGGAGAAAGGTTTTATTTACAAGGCTTCAAATACCTTAGAGCAAACAGCCTACACCCTTACACCCAATAAAACTACTCACGACAAAATGTAATCACGTTACATCTTTGTTTTAACAGCTGCCCACCCCACAATGATTAACAACTAAAGAAAACATAAGCTCTTCTCCCTGATTACAACCAGCTAACACATTCCAGAGCAATCAGGAAACTGTAAAGAGTTAACCACAAAATGAACAAGAAGAAACTACACAAAAATACACCAGAAAAGCATAATTTAAATCATTTTACCTCAGGCTTCACACATTGGCATCACAGTGAGATGCTAACACAGACTGAGCATACTGCTCTGAATCGCTCTCTCTCTCTCTCTCTTTCCACCCCCTCACTACATTCTGTCGTCATCTCAGCCCACAGAAGAACAAGGCACAGCTGGACACAGAACAATGTGTGAAGTGTGAGGGGCACTTGACCAAGCTGGGTCTATCTTTGGCTGTGACCACCAGCCACCTTCTTTCTGTCATGCGGGTGGTGCCTTATTTGTTCAGTGCAATGAAACGTGGTTTTGTTGACCACAGAATGAATGAGACCGAAACAGATCTTTGACTGTGCCACATTTATCCAAATATAAAAAAAAAAAAAGTATTGCAGTACATCTACAGAAAATTGTATTCTGGACTTTTAAATATCTAGTCACACGAACATCATATTAAAATTTGAATAATTCCATTGATTTAAAAAAAAAAAAAAAACATAAACCAAACACGTCTTCACCACAACCACCTTAAGAGAACAAAAATCCTTGTGTGACTCAGCAGAGTCTTGGCCCAGAAGCTGTGGTGGTGCAGAAATCACAGTTAAGCCCGTAACTAAGCTGCCGCATCACAGTCATACACGTCAACCTGCTGTGTCATCTCTTCTGCTGCAAATGTGCTGGACTCTGAGTGTTTCTCAGCCTAAACGTGTTGCTGAGGCTCTGTTGACTTTTTCTCTGTTTCAGAGGTTTCTTGCTTGATGTCTCGAGGGAGGATGGTTCTGGAGGAGGGACATGGATTGGCTTCCAGGGGATTGGATTGACAAAACTGGGCGATGGGTAGGATTTGTCATAGGGACCTAGAGAAAAACAATCCAATGTAACAGTGACACATAAATCTCTGGAAGTCTAATTAAACTAATGAGCTACCGTCTATCTACAGGAGCCTCCGGACTAAGACCACCAGGTACCAGAACAGCTTCTTCCCCACAGCTGTCAGACTCCTGAACTCTGCCTCCTGACATCTGACCCACGTTAAACTCATGGACTGAACATACACACACCCACAACCACCTACACACACACACACACACACACAATGAACAACTGTACCCTGAAACACACAATAATAACATGGACTGAACCACCACTCACAACCACTAGCACTTTATATAGCCTCTGTAGAAACTATCTACACCCTCACTTATCTTAACTGCACTACTGTATAGCTCTGTGTAAATAATCATTCTGTACATACGATAATTTTTAACCCTACAACTGTTTATAACTTGCATAGTTCCCATTTCTGTATAACTGTATATCTCAGATTTCTGTAAAGTTATTTATTTCATATTTATATCCTGTTCATAGCTTGTACTCACTACAGCCTGTACATACTTATAGTTATAGAATATTCATAACATACTTCATACCGTGTACATTATAACATACCATAATAGACCCATTTCTGTAATATACTCACATATCTATATTATTGCTAATATATATTGTAATATATCTATATCACTAAAGCACTTCTGGATGGATGCAAACTGCATTTCGTTGCCCTGTACCTGTGCATGTGCAGTGACAATAAAGTTGAATTCTATTCTATCCTATTCTATTCTATTCTATTCTATGGAATGATTATGATGTTTGAGTAAAATAAACCCAATAACGCCAAGTTAATTCAAATAAACATACTTGATGGATAGCTGGGCTTTTTGGGACTAGCTTTGCTTTTTTCATTCGCCTTTGCCAGCCATTCCTTAAACTTCTCTTCAGCCCTCCTACGCCGCTCCATCTCCTGCTCCTCCTTCAGGGAGGCTTCCTCCTGTCAAAAAGATACAAAAGAAATCTCTGAGAAACCATTTGGAATTTAAAAAAGAAGAGACAGCTGAACGAGAGCCTGATTACTTTCTCCTTCTTTTCCTTTTCTATTTTTTCTTGGTTCTTTCTTTGCAGCCAGTCTTTGTACTTTTGTTGAGCTTTCTGTTCAGTCTCCCACCGTCTCTCCTGCTGCCTCTGCATCTCCTCCTCCTCCTTTCTTTGTTTAAGAAGTTGCTCATGTCTCTCCTAGAATTATAACAAGAAACATAAAAGACTGTAGCGTAGCAGATAAGAAGATCAACACAACAATTTTACTTAAGAAGTTGTTTACCTGTTCTGTTTTAAGTTTTAGCCATTCTTGGATCTTGTTTTCCATGATGAGCTTTTTCTGTTCCTGCTCCCGTTCTTGTTTTTCTTTTCTTTCTTTTAGTAAGTGCTCCTAATATACGGGACACACGGAGCTTTTATTGGGGAGAAATGGTCACTACAACAAATTACAATCAGAATAAAAACACTTTTCTATTATGGGGATGGGACTAATGACTGCATGCCTTTTCTACTTTCTTTTCCTGCTTAAGACGCTCCTCTTTTGCTTTATTCACCAACCACATTTCCCATGCACTGAGGGTAGGTGAAGCTGCAGGCTGCTCCGAAATCGCTTTTGGTAGCTCACATCTATAAAATAAACGCAGATATAAAATTAGCTATGCCGCAAACAAGCCAGAACTAAAGCTGAACTAAAGCTTTACTGCAGCACCTGAATGGTGAAATACTGAGCCTGGAGTCATCCCTCTCTCTGGGGGAAGTGGTCTGCTGATCTGGGGTGGATCTCAGTTCTTCTTCGTCACTGTCGAAGCTGTCATGATAGATTGGAGAAAGCAGAGAAAAAGTGTCTTCTTCGTCGGATAGGATTCCGCCGCCAAAGTCCTTTGATGGATGGAAGTCTTTGAGAGGGGTCGAGCTGAAGCCGTTGGGTAGCCTCTCTCCAGACATCACTAGCCAGCAAATCTGCAGCGGACAGCACAAAAGCGAACAAAGTTCGCTAAGTCTTTTCTGTTTTCTTATGTAAAATGTAAAAGAAATGGGTAATGAGACACATAAATCTGAAATTCCAATGCCAGACACGGACGACGCTATATGAAAATATGTATTTAGCAGCATGCTAACGTTAGCTCAGCTCCTTAGCTCACTCCAACGACAACATAAACACATTTTGTGACTTGCTATGAAACATTAGCAGAGCAAACTAGCTTACCGGAAAAAACAAATGCAGGCTGGAGCTATTATGTTTAATTTTACAGGTTAACTGTCTCTTTCCAGGCCAGCTGGTCTCTTCTTCCAATCACGAGTTTGCAGCAGCGGAGGTTAGAAGTGATTTACAAACTTTTTCCCATGATACACCACGCCCCCACGCTCAGCTGGACGCTGTTTTCGTAACCATGGCGACACCACAAAAACGCATGTAGTTTAACAGTCCACATCAACCTGCTCAAACAGCTTCACATTTCCACTTTTTATTTAAAGCAATAATGGTACAAAATCTCACGTTTGTATATTACTTCCTAGTTTAAATTACACTAAAATATAGGCCACTTTTTTTTTTTGCTTTAAAGGATTAAATCCGAAAAGAAATTCAAACTTGTTAACTTAATTCTTGTTTTCTAAGGCATTAAAGATGTATACTATATATATACTACTATGTATACTACAACCGTTCCAATCTGGAAAAAAGTTCAAAGACATCATATGAAGCCCAAAATTACCATGACATTCATGTTTGTGATGAGTGTGTGACACACTGTGTGTAAACTTTTAGCTGTTTCTTCATTAAAGAAGGCAATTGGGACATTTAAATATGATAAAGCTTCAATCATTTTGTGAGGTTCATTAGAATGACTGCTTCTATCATATTTTATTACATGGGACATTCCTAAAGGTGGGGAAGACAGAGAAATCAGATATATTGATTGGACTCTTGCTTCATTTCTGGTAGTATTATTGCAAGGTGCTTATCATTAAACGTTGTCAGCATATCAATAAAACGTAGATAAGTCTAAAAATAAGTCTATTAAGGACTGTAGACTGTGTACTTTAATGAATTCCAATGTTCAGTGCTTGTTTGGACAGCTAGTTCACCTCCTACAGTGATAAAATGCAGTCTGTCTCAGAGCTCCTCTAGTTGAAGTTAACCTGCACATGCACCCTGTCTCACTCTCACTTAACATTTTGAGTCTAATTACCAGCAGCCAGTCAAAATGAGGTTGTACGGGGAAGTGAAGAGAAGAGCTGCTTTCACAGAGACATGTAATATTTTGTGAGTGTTTGTAAAATCTTCTGCACTTGTTTATTTTTTAATGTTACAATAATATTGTACGTTCCCACAATACAACTGTGATCATGTTAACTGAAAACAGTGAGCATGTCAGCAACCGTGGTTAACCTCAATCATGGAAAGATTAACCTTCAAAGGGAGACATTAGTTTCTGGGAATACAATGAGCCCAATAACTAACTACTACTACTCCAGAGCTCCACTTAATAAACTGATTATATTTATCATCACATGACAGACCATTCATTGGCAACATTATTTAAGTCATTATTTATACCAGGTATCTTATAAGATGACTTGAAGTGAAATTGAACCTGTTTGATCTGGATAATAATGCTATCTTCACAGCATTAAAGATCATTATTTAAAAAAACAAAAATAAATCAATCAAACAGCCACATGTTTATCTTTTGAAATATTAGAAATATTTTAGGGTTGTCCTCTAAATAGCTCCCATCCATCACTCCTCCCTTATATAGTTTTTCATAATGTGTGAAATCTGAGTAATACATCCACAGTTCCCAGTAAAATAAAGATGGACGAATCAGGTATGGCCATTTGCAGAAAACAGGTGGGTGTGGCTGAGTATACGTGTCCAGTGTCAGAGTCACACCTGGTTGTGAGATTCCAGCTTCTGTTACTCCTTCCCGACAAGGGCAGCAGTTCTCATTTAAAGCTCTTTACCGACAGCATTCACCCCACCAAGCAGAAGAGCTGCCCGGGATGGTAGCTGGAGACTTCAGGAGACTCCCAGAGGGCAGAAGCCCACTGCGACATATCTCCCACACACCTCATCTATACCAGAGACCACGAAAGAAGCCTCGCAAGAAGCTCCAAGTGATCATCTGTGTACTTCTTGTGGAGTTATTTGAAAGGTTCACTTTCTTTGGGATTGTATGTAACATGATTCTATTTTGCACTGTGAAGCTCGGATATGACAACTACCTCGCTGCAACAGTCAACCTGTGCTTCATAGGAGCCAGCACACTCACCCCTGTTCTGGTTGGCTGGTTTGCAGAAGCCTGTCTAAGAAGGACTAAGGTGCTATACGTGTGTGCATTTCTTCATTTCTTTGGTAAGACACAAGGGATTAAAGGTTGACACAAGTTGGCTGCCAAGAATTTGAAGCCATATGACTTCTAAAACAGCGTTTACCATCTTGGACTGTATTATTGTGAAAAGCAAGACTAGAGTAAGATCTGATGCCAGATGTTTATAATGTTATAATATTATAATGTATTTATTTTTATTTTTAAATGGCAGGAAAACAGGTGGGCACCTTGTACTTCTTTTCATTTGTTTCAGTAATTTTTTTTTGACTACATATCTCATGAATGTATCAAATCAACCATTGCCAAAAAGAAAATATCACTCAGAATCATTAGATGCATCTGCCACTGTAGGTACAGCCATGTTGCCTGTGGTGGCATTTCCCTTTGAGGATTTCTACATCGACAGCCACCACATGACCCACCAGCTGGGGTCTCGGGAGCAGCAGATTCTTTTTTACACTGGCCTGCTGGCTGCTGCACTGGGCATCGGTGGCATCCGAGCTATCCTCTGCCCCATGGGAGCTTACAACCTGCAGGGCTACAACCAGCACCAGCTCCTGACCTTCTTCAACTGGTGGGTGATGAGGCTACCCTGACGCATCATACATGTAGTTTACCAGTAGGTTCATTTTTAGTTCTACGAGGTTGGGTTTCGTATGGTTTGATTTCAGACAAAAAAAGTAGTAGTGACATGCCTTTGTTATTATATTACAAACAAACCTTTCTGACATAATGGTAATTCTATACTAGAGTGCATGGGGGTTTCCTCTAAGGACTCCTTCTCCTTTCATAGACAAAACAAGTTTAAATTGAACCACCCTAGATGATGAAATTAGCACAAAGATATTTTGGATTTAAATCTGACCAATATCACTGGCTCGCTCTAAGATTTTTTTCTCTTAATTTAGGTTCTACTGGCTGGTGAATCTGAATTCCACTGTTGTGTTTCTGGGCATTGCTTACATCCAGCAATCTGTGGCCAAAAATCTGGGCTTCCTCATCCCCTTCACCTCAGTGCTGCTGGCTCTCATTGCCATACACATGATGCGCAGTAACCTCACCTACAAACCCAAGAAAGGTAAGATACCAAAAAAAGGATTAGAAAGAGAAAACCTCTTCCTCGTCTCCTTTTTTGTACAGGCCACAAAAAGTTAAACTGTTCGTGCTTCATGCTTTTATTGAGCTTAGGTGGATCATTACTGACCACATTGGGAGTTTTCTTGAACTCTTTCAAGATGTGCTGCCTCCACTATCGCTACTTGAGCGGGCAGGTAGCATCTTGGCTGGACCGGGCGAAAGAGAATAATGGTGGCCGGTACAGTGAGACTCACGTGGAGAATGCCAAAGTCCTGGCCAAGCTCTTCCCTCTTTATGGGCTTCAGCTGCTCTACAGAGTCTGCCTCACACAGGTAGGTCCCTGAGAAATTATAATGCATGAAGCAGAAAACTGAAATGTTTAATCGCCTTCAGGTCTGGTTAAGAAATATGCCTCCCACAGATCCCCTCAGGTTACTACATTCAGACGATGAGCTCCAACCTTCACCTGAAGGACCACCTTTTGCCCATCGCTGCCATGAATGTGATCAGCATCCTGCCTCTGCTGCTCTTAGCGCCATTGATGGAGTGTGTGATGACCTGCTACCTGTCCATGGAAAAAACTCCTCCAGCACCTGTAAAACGTATTAGTGAGTATTTACATGCATGCAAGGCCCAACTAGTTCGCATGTTGTCATTATTTATTCTCTTAAATATTCCTTTATCTCCTCTCATTCCCTCTTTTTGTCTTGTAATCACAACCTCCCGTTCCTCAGCCCCCTCTCTCATCACCCCACCCTGTCCATCCTCCCCCTCCAGCTCTGGGCCATGCATGTGCCACTCTGTCGGTCCTGGTTGCAGGTTTGACTGAGCTGCAGAGGAAGTCTTACCCCCTGGTGGAGCAGACACTTTCTGGAAAGCTTTTGCAAGTTTCTTCCATGCCGTGTTTCCAGCTGGCTCCTCAGTACATCCTGCTCGGTCTGGCAGAAGCTCTCGTCACCCCTGCGTGTGAGTGGGAGACTTACAGTTATGTCTCCGTTTGTGCATATCATTCTGATTTGTGAAACGAGTATAATGTGGCACATAAGCAGCAGGAGACATGCTCATACAGTTTCTGTTGTCTGGCAGGCTCCCTCATTTCTTTCCAGCTCACCCCGAACCACATCAGAGGGATCGCCCTGCACTTCCTCACTCTGTCCTATGGAGGGGGATGTTTTCTCGGTGCCTTTATTATTCAGCTGATGTACTTTCTCTCTGGAGGTAAAATTCAAACAAACAAACAGACAAGAAAATACAAATACAGGACTAACAAATGACATAGAGGCACTGGTACTAAACACTATGGTGCTCTGTTACAGGAAGCTTTTACCCAAGCACACTGCATGATGGCAATTTGGAGAGATTCTTCTTCCTCCTGGCCACACTGATGGCTGTAAATACCCTGGCATTTTGGAGTGTGTCATACAGGTACAGTAAAACAGGTAGACGATGATCCAATAAAGTTTAGATTGTTCCATGTCCATCACAGTCTGTTGTAGGTTCATATCAACAGCTGGTAAAGAATTTGATGTTTTAGCAAAAACACATACATAGAGTTTGATATAAGAAACATGATAACTAAACAGTTTCAGTGTAAACTTTTTATTCAAAGCATGTTTTTACAAGTATATTTGTAAAAAGAAAAAAAAGTATCACAGCTCTAAGTGTATTTCTTGTTACATTAATGTTGTGCAGGTACGTGGACCTAAGCGTTCAGGGCAAAGCGCTGACCATCAGCCCTCTGACTGAGAAGCTGCTGCATTACAAGGCCTGTCTGCGCTTCTACGACACTGTAGACCGCACCGACTGCATTTTATGAATGATTTCTCTAAAATGTCCTCTGTTACTGGTGCTAGCACTTTGTTACCGAGTCAAAATTTATAGTGATTGACTAAATTGTAAAAATGTAAAAATGTAATATATGAAGTGTGCATATTTTATTTATTAACACGTATATTGTGTATTTAATTAAACGTCATGAATTGTGAGCTTTGTTTTATTTACATAAATGTGAATTCAGGAGTAAACTGTGACATTTCTATATTGAAAAGGTGAATATTAGTACAATAAACTCAATAAAGAATATTATTATTAGTATGCATGGTCCTTACTTTAAGGCAGTTTAGCTAAAGCAATGACTCTGTTTACGTGACTGAACAGTAGCTGCAATTACAAAGCAATCATATTTCAAGCTCTCCTCACAATGAAAATCAGACTTAAAGCTATTAACCTCTTTTCCAAACAAAGTGTGCTTAAACGTGATCAATTTTAGACATGACACAAACAGAATAACGTAATCTGTTTTTAACCGTCACTTTGAAAAATATATAAACATTTAAAGAGTATAACTACCTTTAAATTATTGCATCTTATATCAGGATAAATTTCAATACAAATAGTAAATAAACATTATATAACTATATGTAATTTTGTGAAGGTTTCTCCAGTGAATTATCAGGAAAAAAGGACAAAGCATCCAAGGTACCGTCCTCGTTTCTGTTAATGCATAATTGACACTGAACTATTACAGCTCTGTTGTTTAAACGATGATATGTCTCCTAATATTGACGCTCAAAGTTGGTTATAGAAAAGAAATCATCCTAAACATAAACAACAAATAAGATATACATTTTATTTGGTTTAATTTTTTTAAACCAAATTTTTTTTTAGTGGTTAAAATTTTATGGGACTCTGGGCTCTTGTATAAAGTTATGACAGTCAAAAAATGCTAAGAAAAATATGACTTTGTTATTATGACATGAGTCTATATGTGGATATAAAGGCCTCTTTGATTCTTCACTTTTTTACTAGGAAAAGAGGACTCAGAGATCATTTTATCACTTTGTCGATCAATACATTAACATTGGAAACTGTGCACGATCTCAGATGTTGCTTATTTTCAGTGTTGCACCAAGATCCACAGAAAACCCGGGATAGAGGGGCTCGGTGAAGGTTGTCTGGATTTGGTGCAGCAGTGTCAAACTTTCAACCCCAGATACGCTGTAAAAAGCCAGCGTTCCCTCTTCATAATTAAGGTGTACCCCTACTTTGCGGGAGACAGCCGGAGGAATTTGACCTTTGTGAAGATTATTGTGCCAGAACGTGCAACCAGAAGGAGAGCAGATTAATTTCCAGGACAGAGCATTGTGGCCAAAACAGCAATCTTTCCCTGAACCCTTTCTACCTATCCCTCTGTACGACACAGCCACCTCAACTATGCCACCATCCCACTCCACCTCCCAGTAGTGGTTTCCTCTGAGGCCCTTTTTACACAAAGCCTGGTAAAAGTATGTGAATCTGTCAGGGTGATCTGGATGAGCCTGGTCCTTGTCACACCATGATATCTCTTTCTTTGTATCAGAGAGGTAAAGACAAGCTGCTACAGTGTCAGGATCCACCTCGATGTTGGAGTCTGCAGGGAAAATGAAAAACTCATTGATTACAAAGGACTCGCTTAAGCTCTCAAATATGTCTGTAGTCATTAACATCATGCTTACTCTTATATTTCATCACAAGTTCTGTCCTTGTCCGTCCCTCCTGCGGCCTTGTCCTTCTTGACACTTGTAAGGAAAAACACAAAAAGCATAGTTTTTAAGTAAACAAGGTGAGACCACAGTTATGATGTTTAAAAATCTCAAATGATCCCAAATGATCACACTTACTGATGATTTTTCCAGAATAATCCGTCAGATCCCTTTTTTCTTC